CACCACACAGTGTGGGAGCTAACCTCTAAAACCACCCTGTCAGCCAGCCACACCTGTTGGAGCAACCAGCTTGGGGGACAAAGGGCTCAATTCCTGCCCGGGAGGCCGCATGTCAAGTTCTCCTAGTTGCCAGGCGAGGGCGTTCCTACCAGTAACAGCACTGGGTTTTTGTTTAGCCACTTGTGCTGACTTGGCATGCAGTATCTCACTTAGCCCTCACAACCCTTGGAGGCAGGCACTTTTATCTTCATTTAGCAGATTAGGAAACTGAGGCTTAGAGCTGTGAAATGACAAGCCCAAAGTCATAGCTAGTCTTAGATGGTGGCAGCACTTTCAGGGAGAGGCAGGAGGCCTGCAGAGTCACTCTCAGTTCTCCATTCGGCTCTCATGAGGGCCTGGCTGGACAGGTAACATGGAAGGCGCTAACAGCAAGAACTCAAAGGAAATGGTGTTTGGGTTCAGGTTAAATGATCATTTTTCTGGCTCCTATCTTAGTGAGGATCTGAAGCTGTACTCTGGTTTTCTAAAAGGTTGCGTGCTTTGTTTCCCAACACCAACTTTAAGGTCAATAATTAGAAAAATGAACAACTGGCTTCAGCATATTAGGCACAGATAGTAAACATCACAACATTTAGACTCTGCTGCATGGGCTGGCTGGTTAGGTAACTTAGCTAGAGAGTGTTGCTGATAATACCAAGGTCAAGGGTTCAGATCCCCTTACCAGCCAGCTACCAAAAACAAAACCATAGACTCTGCTGGTCAAGAGCTTGCAAACCAGCCTGCAGGTTTTATCCAGGCTGTGGACATGCCACATTAGGCTACCACAACAGTTTTCAAAGTATTATTTCTATAACTTAGGTAGGACATGCACTGTTTCATCCCCTGCCATTCTCCATCCTGTTACACCAGATCCTAGTTACACACTACTGTCACCTGTTGTAAACATTGAGTTTGCTGTCTTTTTTTTCTTTTTCTATTTATTAACTCCAGTGACACGAGCTGAGTTTGCATTCTTAGTCCAGTAGGTCATGATCCTGACTAAAGAGTCTGATTTAATTGGTCTTGGGTGGCAACCCAGCAATGGTGCATTTTAAAGCTCCCCAGTGGGGCCGAGCCTGTGGCGCACTCGGGAGAGTGCGGCGCTGGGAGCGCGGCGGCCCTCCAGCCGCGGGTTCGGATCCTATATAGGGATGACCGGTGCGCTCACAGCGCTCACTGGCTGAGCGCGGTGCGGACGGTCTCAAAAAGGACCAAAAAAAAAAAAAAGCTCCCCGGTGATTCTGAGAACGAGGGAAGTCTTGCTCCACTTTTGCTGCTCTGGCGGGCTTATCTCGGCCCCAGTGAGTTAGAAGTACTGCAAGACCCAGGACCAGGCTCCAGAACTCCTCCTGACAGGTTCAGAGGGCAGACTTGCGGTTGGACGCCCTCCTCTTCTGTCCTCTCCCCTGTGCAGGTCTCTGAGGCAAGTGTGTGAAGAGCTTTTCTGCCTGAATCCCTGGCAGACAGAGTTCCCCACCACAATCTTTCTGTAGAGTTAGTTCAGCCTGGAGGCTTGAATTTTTTGAGGCTTCCTTGAAATCCTCCCCTGGCTGGGACCCTGAGGTCAAGATCAGGATTCTGGCCAGGCGGGATGTGGACAGGGGGCGGGGAGTAGACTCAAGCAGGCTGGGCCCCCGGTGCTGCACTATAATTGCTTTAGAGAAAGGAGGAGAGCCTGGGCAGAGGCTTTTGTGTTTTGTGGCCCGCGTGCCTGGTTTCCAGAGCAACCATGGACACCACAGTTCCATTAGAGGTGGAAGCCAAAACCAAAGGACAGCCAATTGGCACCCAGAGCCCAGTTACCTGAGCCAATGGGAAGTGGAGGTGTGCAGAGTCAGGCAGGGCTGGATCTGGGACTTACAACTGCAGAGATCTGGGTGAGTTGGAGCTGTCCTGGATGGCTGTCAGTTTCAGAAGCCAAGACTGTTCCCACAAATCCCTCCCTCTGAAGGTTGTAGAAAGACCCTCTTGGCGGCCAGGCATGCAGAGGGGAGTGCCATCTACAGGACACTAGGTCACAGCATGGTATTGTCCAGGACAAGCAGGGGCAGCAGAGGCTGAGAACCTGGAGAGCTGCTCCCAGCTCTAAATGAAGTTGTTCCTCTGGGCCTGGGTTCCTGGCTGGGGTGTAGCACCTGGGGGAGAGTTAGCCTTGTGGCCCTGTGGCCCTGCTGGCCACCCTTAAGGCTGGTGCCTTGGCACCCCCGCCACTGCTTCTCTGTGTGCGGAGATCACCATGGACAACAGCCTCCTAGCCATAGTTGTGGCCACTGGTGAGTACCTACTGCCATTCCAAGTCCCAGGGTTGGAGCAGAGGTACCCTTGGCCCCTCAACCATAGGCCAGAAGCCCAGCCTCTTCATCTGGAGGGTCCCCTGCAGCAACATCCTTCCCCATGCCACTCAGGTTTTCTCTGACTCCGCCTCATCTGACCTGGCTGCCAGATCATGAGAATGAGCTAGTGGCCAGAAAGGAATGGAATCTTTTTACCCCCAAATGCCTTTCAGAAATGCTGAGGGTCTGAGCTTTGTACCTTGGACTTGGAGGAGAGGACGACAGGGATGGGGAAAGGGACTTGGGGGACAGGAAAGGATCTGGGCTCTGCTCTCTTGCACATGACGCTGAGCTTCAGCTTGAGTCATCCTTCATGATCCCCAGGATTGCTCCCCTCCCTACTTCAGCACCATGGGACACCCTGCTGAGGTCCATCCAGTGGAAAGAAGCCAAGAGTCCCAGGGGATGCAGGTGAGGGAGGATCCTTTGGGCTGCCAACTGGGAGTGGGGGATAGGTGTGTGCTGGGGTACTGAAGCCAAACAAGAGGGCTATGTGGTTAGGGGGACTAAAAAGAACACAGGGGAGGGGAAGGATGGGATGAAGCCTAGAGAGGCTTCATGGAGGGGAGAAGTGTGGTACCCCCTGATCGTAGGCTCACTCTGGGGAACAGGATGCAGACAGAAGCTGAATAATGCTGGTGCATGCCTCCCCGGCTCCTTCAGCTTTTCCTAGTCACAGGACTATCCCCAGGCAAGTGAGGTATTCTGTGTGGAGCTGCCCAGGAGCCACCAGCTGCCCCTGTGGCAGCCAGCTCACTTGCCCAGCTACGAGGGTTTGAAAGAAGGATGGCAGCAGCAGATTCACCAGCTGACTGCACAGCGCTTCGGGCTCTGGGCCTTCAGAGAGGTTGTTCAGCCCTCCCAGCCTTGGATGCCCTGGAGAACTGAGCTTTTTACATATTTTTACTTTTTCACACACAATGCCCAATTACAGCCCCTTGAGTCAGGCCAAGGACAGGGCCACTAGTGGAGAACCCCAGGATTTGGCTGGAGGCCCCACTTCACCGCTTTGTATAGAGAGGACAGCAGACCCCAGCCCAAGGAGGTCTACTCTGCACTCAGGATGGGCTCCTGAAGAGGGATTTCCACAGAGGAAATGGCTCTAGGGTTCAACTTGTTTCCAAGTTGAAGAGGGGAGAGGAAAAACAGAAAGCACCAGTCCAAAGAATAGAGAGGACAGCAGACCCCAGCCCAAGGAGGTCTACTCTGCACTCAGGATGGGCTCCTGAAGAGGGATTTCCACAGAGGAAATGGCTCTTGGGTTCAACTTGTTTCCAAGTTGAAGAGGGGAGAGGAAAAACAGAAAGCACCAGTCCAAAGAAAGGGCATGTGTGTACATGGGGAGGACAAGGGAATGGGTAATGCCTTTGTTCTCCCGTCCCTCCAGCGGCCACCACACTATGAGGAAGCCCTATGGTCACTGCCTGCACCACTACCCAACCAAGGCTCTGCTCACCCATCCCAGGGAGCAGCCATGTACCCTGCTCAGGAAAATGCCACTGTGTAGGAGGTAGCACCCACCTGTCCTGGCCCTCCCATTTCTCCAGGGGACTAGAAGGGACAGTGCTGAGCCATGTGGCAACAGCCCCCACCAACTTCCCCGCCTAAGAAATAGCCCGGGTGAGTCTTGGTACATGAGGCCCCCACATAGAGAGATGCCAAAGTGAATCCCCACAAACTCCAGGCCACCTTTGCCAGGATCTGCAGGTGGGGCATCTAGGGTCATGCCCTGAGAAAACAAAGTGACAGGTTCAAGGCAGAACTCTAGAATTGGGAGGTTTCTCTGCCCTTAATCCCTGGAGCCCCTGCCTTCAGGGCAGAGAAAAATCCTTAGAAGGAAGCCACCAAACTCTACAAGCCCCTTTCTGGGGCTGTAGCCAACACCACCTACCTCCAACAGCCAGGAACGACCATCCTCCTCACTTGAGATGCCCTTCCTGGCCTCCCCACTCAAAGGCAAGCCTCTGAAGGTCTTGTCTGGGATGACAATGAAGGCCTGCCCCCAGCCCACCCTAGGCCCTCACTGAGTATTCCTGAAGCCAGGTTATTTGCTCCTGTTTATGGTTTGAGATAAATCAAGAACCAGGAAAGAAAGTGGACTTGGTGTGTCTAGCTCTTTGGGCAGGCGGGAAGAAGCCATTTGTCGCCTGCTCTGTCTAGCCATTGGAAGGATCTTGGTATTCCAGGGCAGACAGGCCTGATCAAGCCTCTCAGGAGGATCTCCTGCCATCCCACAAGCTTCCTCTCAGCCCTGGACAGGTGGAGGCAGAGAGGGGTCTACTGTGTGGCTACCTGTGGGGCTGCAGCCCCAGCTGTCTTAGCACATGGTTCCAGGAGAGGAGCATGACCGTGTTCTTCACCTACTGGCTCCCCCCACTCCTCTTCCCAGGACCCAGCCCCTGGACTTTTATGGGATCCAAGAGAGGAAACAGCAGTCACACCCTCAAGTACAAGCTCTCCTCTTCCTTACCCTCCGGGGGATGGTGCCAAAGCAATCCCCTCGAAACAAAGTCCCCTCTTCTCATTTCCTCACTCTGGTAGGCCTCTTTCCTGCTTTGATGTTCACCTTTGGTGTGCACTAGAGAACATGAGTAAGGGTCAACAAATCAGGAAACAGCTCCATCCAGGTTTGTTCCCGAACAGCAGAGACTCATGATTCCAGCTAACTTTATTTTTGGTCCCAGGTCAGATATCCCTAAGGGTTTCCCAGCAGTCACTTCACAGAATCTCCTGCAGAGTCACCATCAAGCAGACCTCTTCCTTGGGAGGCCTTGTCATCACTCCAACCCTTGACTTCTGGTATCACCCACTCCTGTCACCTGGGATCCAGTCTCTGTCCAATGGCCTCAAGCAGGACTTCAAAGCATGGCTACCAGTTTAAAGGTGCCCACAGGCTTGGCAGGAACCACGTGGACAAAAGTCTTGTAGAGCACAGCACCCCTGGGCAGCCTGGTGACCAGATCCACAGCCTCCAGGTCCTTGGGATTGGGCACATAGACCTCCTTAGTGTAGTGGACTGTCCCCTCCTCCAGAGCGTACAGGCACTTCCGCTTCCCCAGCCCCACCTGCAACACATAGACCTGGTCAGCTGCATGGAAAGCCAGGTGGTCCATCCCATGGCTTCAGGACAGACTTCTCACACGGATTCAGGCCCTAGGGCTGAAGGAGAGGGTTCGGAGAGCTCCATCTCAGGTTCCCTTTCCCACTGCTTGGCCATTCCTTGCCTTCTGCTTCCTAACTAACTCTTTAACAGAGGAGGGAAAAGAAAACTCCAACAGCCAATTCTGGTCACTGCTCAGTCCCAGAGAGCTGACAGCTGGAGTCATGTCTATGCAGCTGGTCAGAAGCTGGACAGATCCCAAAACCAGGCCCAGGAAGATACCCCAAATCATTGCCCCTGGGAGCCTGCTTCACTTAGACTTAAAAAGAGTTGTCATATTAAATCCTAGTGTGATGTACATTTTCATTTATATAGTAACCTATAGAGTTTAGGCTCCATGGAAAGTATAGACCAAAGCTATATGAATGCATATGCTAATAAAATAATAATAATAGTGACATCAGTTAATACTTATTATATAGTGCTTACTATGCAAGCCCTTTCATATACATTAACTCATTTAATCCTCACCTTGTGAAATAGGTATGAATTCCCACCCCATTTTTCAGATGAGAAATATGAAGCAGAGAGGTTAAATAAACTGTGTGTTATATATACAGTTTTTAAACTGTATATATTTTAGTTTATTTCTTTTAGAACTTCAGATTGGATGTGTGGTGATTTTTACCCAGGCAGCCCAGCACTATTCTATGTGTCTCTGATTAAAAAATGAGCTCTGGAGGAAGGATGCCTGGTTCAAATCGCAGCACTACTACTTACTACTGTGTGATCTTGGGCAAATTACTTAACTGTGTCTCAGTTTTTTCATCTGCAAAATGGGGAAAATATTAAGTACTTCATAGGGTCATCTTGAGGATTAAATGAGTTAACAATCATAAAGAGCTCAGAATACAGAGTAGCTTGACATGTAAGCTTTTATTGTTGTTGTTACTTTTGCAAGTTCCAAGAGTTAACACAGCCACACAACCAATGTCTTAAGCTCTAAAAGATAAAACTACTACATATATAATCAATTCATATACAAATTAACATCTTTGAAATAAATATAGGTTATTTTCAGCATTTCTGTGTCTACTAAAATTACAAAAAATGGGGGGGGTATTGATTACAAAGGAAACTAACATTTAAAATAATGTGAAAAGTATAGTATAGTTCTGTCTTAACAAAAAACTGTCCTACCTCATAAAGTAATCCCAACTTGCTGAAACAAAAATCCCTGCCTGATGTGCACATAATTTCTGGCACACACACATTGAATTCTATTTTATTAAATTCAAGCTGTCTTTCAACCATCTAATAATAAGTTTATGCAAAAAAAGAATTCTTAGAAAGAATGAAAAATAAATAAATTGAAATTAGATTCCCAAGAGTCAAAAAGTTTCTAAAATCACTAGGTATCTCATCCTTCAAGAACGGATAGTTAGAAAGGAAAACTAAGAACATCATGCTAAAGCTATACCACAGCCAAACAGCAATTTGGGAGTTAGGCAGACCTGGTTTAAATCCCAGCTGTCCCTTGGGCCCCACCACTCTCTTGAGTCTCTGGCACTTCACCTGTAAAATGGAGATGACACCCACCTCACGGGGATGTGGTAAGGATGAAATGAGATAATGCAGGCATAGGCATCAGCACCATGCTTGGTAAGCACCCAATAAACACAACTGTAATTACTGTGCTTAGAGACATAGAGAGGCAGTCCTAAAAAAGAAAAAAGGGGGAACACAGAGCAACTCACATGTGCACCTGGGTGCCAGCGGAAATGGCGCTGAGTCCCAAGGATATTGCCAGCATGAACATAGTGACCTAGAAGAGAAGTCCACAAGTGTGCTGACTCTGGCCCCAGTGATCGGGGCAACACAGCAAATAGCTAAGAAAACATGACAGCCCAAACGCTGCACACCAACTTCTAAGCCTGCCCCTGGCCAAAACCAACTCCCAACCTGGTCCCCCATGCAGCAGCCTCTTTTCTCTAGTTGCATGGCTCAGGTCCACACCTCCCCACTCCTCCTTAGGACCAAACACCCCTCCTCGGGTCTTATCTGCCCTTTTAATCTGGAGCCAAATGCTACGGTGAGCTAAGCAGAGTACACAGGGCCAGACACTTGCATGGTTTTCCAGTTCTCCTAAGGAACACCAGGGGCAGCAGGGTAGGATGCACCTGGGAAATGGAAGCCAAGGCATGTCCTCACCTTCCATTTTCTTGATGCCATAGTGTTTGCCTGGTGACCTGCCACCGAGGTTTTTGGAGCTGCCACCTGACTTCTTGGATGCATATCTGAGGGCAAGAACAGTACCCTGAGGGGGGCTCAGCAGGGCTGTAACTACAGAGAAAACAAACATGTTCAGACAGAGAGGCTCCCAATCAGACTCTCTTTCTCTGCCTCAGTGGCCCATTGGCTAAGCTGAGTGGCAGGGGAAACAAGAAAGATGTGTGAGGGGAGCAGAAATGCCACCTGGGTATGTTGGTTTTCAGGGAATACCTGGAAGTCCTTGGTCGTCTCCCATGCCAAGGGACAATTCATTCTTTGTATTGTCCAGTGTGTAAGCACTGCATGGAGGGTGCGGGGGGAGGGTCAGAAGGGGAGTAAAGCAGTGAAATATAAATGGGAAAAAAAATCAACATCATGTGCTCTGGGTCCTGACACATTGGATTCTGCTGAGGAGAAACACACACCACAGAAACAGAAGAAGCCAGCAAAAGCACACCATGAGCTGCCTGCTTCAGAGCCTCACTCACCCTCACGCTCCATGGAAGGACCAAGCCACAGACAGAGAGCCCAGCTACAGAACACTCAGAGAAAGTTCTGCTTCAGCCTTGCCCACCACTTTCTTAGCTATTCACTCATCCACCACACACCGGATACTTGTAAATAAAAAGGGCAGCTGGTCTTAGGGTGGCTCCCACAGGATCCTAGCCATCTCAGGCTGGATGCTTTCTTCCCAGAACATCAAGGAAGAGGTTCAACCAAGACTGGCACAATGCCCTTGTTAATCTGATATCTCCATACTCATTCCTAAGTGCTCAATGACATTTTTTTTTTGGAGGCTGGTCTATATGAGGATCCAAACCCTTGACGCTGGTGTTATCAACACTGTGCTCTAACCAACTATGCTAATCAGCCAGTTCCCACTGACAGTGTTTATTTTAAAAAGGAAAGTTAACTAAAATTCATACTAACTAGGATGGAAGCCCCTTGATATATGACAGCCTAGGGCTGGCAGTCCTTGCTTTCAGTTCTCCAGACACAGAATGGTTTAAGGACCACACCAGAGTCTTTAGAGAAGCCTTGAGCATCTCTGGAGCCTATAAGTTCAGAGTTCCCAAAGCCTAAGTTTCTGACATTTTCATGAGAACAGAGACTTTGCTGGGGCAAAGGACCAGAGATAAGGACTTAGAGAGACAAAATGTTAAATGCCCACCACCAGGATCTACCTACCTTTAAACATCTATTCATCCATTCACTCATTCACTCACTCATTAAGTTCAGGAATGGGGCTTTTGCTTTGCCTGCATCATCTCATTCACAAATCTTTGCCCTTCACCCTACTCCCCATCCTCCTTCTTGAAGTAAAATGGTGCCACCATCTATCCAGTTGCTCAAGCAGAAACCAAAGAGTCATTCCAAATTCTCTTTGCTCACCTCACATACCCAGTTCACCAGCAAGCTCTGTGGATTCTATCTCCAAAACAGATCTCAAATCCATTAATTTCCCTCCAAGTTCACTGCCACCACTAACATCTTGGCTAAATCATCTCTTGTCAGGGCTACCATTACAGCTTCCCATCTGGTTTCACTTCCATTCCTACCTACCCCCTTTTAATTTACATAAGAACATGGGGCCGGCCCGTGGCTCACTTGGGAGAGTGTGGTGCTAATAACACCAAGGCCACGGGTTTGGATCCTATAAAGGGATGGCCAGTTAGCTCACTGGGTGAGCGTGGTGCTGACAACACCAAGTCAAGGGTTAAGATCCCCTTACCGGTCACCTTTAAAGAAAAAAAAAATGTACATAAGAACAGTTTGCTTCTCAACATGTAAAATTGAATCAAGTCACTCTCCTGCCCCTCACTACATACAGGGATAGAACTCCTGTCATCCTTTGGTCTTAACTTAGATTATTTTCTTGTATAGAGCATACAAAATAGAAGCACTTGAGCTAAAAAACAAAATGGAGTCAGTCATGCTAAGGAAACTGAAACTAGTATAAACAACTTGTTTTGAACCAAGCTGATAACCAGACACATGGCACTGATAAACTTGGTAAGATGTCAGCCAACAGACACATGCCAATGATAAACCAGACAGGTGGTACAGACAGGAGGTGTAAAAAGGGTATAAAATCCCAAGCCTGGGGCTGGCCCCGCGGCTCACTCGGGAGAGTGCGGCACTGATAGTGCTGAGGCCGTGGGTTTGGATCCTATATAGGGATGGCCTGTGCACTCACTGGCTGAGTGTGGTGCAGATGACACCAAGCCAACAGTTACGATCCCCTTACTGGTCAAAACAAAAACGAAAACAAAAAAACCCCAAGCCTGTTCTTATTTGTGGGAGCTAGAAATAAATAAATAAATACACAAACAAATTGGGGGGGGGGGAAGAAGACATAACAATCACAATTCCTTGAAGATGTTAGGACAAGTGAACAGCTATGATGTTGATGGGTGGGAGGCGGACGGGGGAAGGGAGGAATTGGTAAAGGGACGCGAAAATCAACTACACTGTACATTGATAAAATAAAAACAAAATAAACCTCAAGCCTTTGCTCAGTTGAATGTGGAACGTCTGGCTGAGAGTTAGTCTTGTTCCCGACCTCTCAAATTGGCATCTGTTGCCAAAGACTGCCAGAATGACCCTCAAACTGAGACTTCCTTGCAAGAAGCTGACCATCCTGGCGAGACTGGACATCCAACACTGACTGGTCTCTCTGCACATCAGCCAGTTCGTTAACCCAGACTCTTGATTTCTATCTCCCTCTATATACCCTCACTTAATTGTATCGTTATTAGTATTTTGAATAAGAAGTGAATGCAGTGGTGTATAGCCTGAGCCTATGTGCTTGTGGCCCTATCGAGTGACTGGTTAGTACCTAGGGAATTGCTCCCTACAAGAACTCTGTAGTAGCCCATGACTGATATTAATGATCCTTGCATTAGTAGGAGTCTGACATTGTGGAAAGACACAAAGGTGTTGGCCTTGGTTCCCTGCCACCTCCGTGGGCTCATGACATTTCTCCTCAGAGGATTTCCCTGACCATACAATCCATACACACACTCATTTTTTATTTCTTCACAGCACTTGCACAATTTAAAACCATTTTACTTATGTGTGTTTATTTATTAGCTTATCCACTAGGAAGAACCGTCCAGGGGTGACAGACCACGTCTTCAAGTTTTCTGCTGACATTCCGAACACCTGTGACAGTGTGTGGCACAAAGCAAGATCTCAATCTGCTGAATGAGTAGATTAACTTTCTGAGCTTCAATGTGCCAATGTTTCTAACCCTTGTCACAGATCAAAGGGATCCACACAAATCCAAAAAGGGGAAGCGATGTACCCACGTCCCCAACCCCCGAGGAAGCCTGCTGTGCTCCTGAGGCAATGGAAGGACGCGTGCTACTTAAACACCCGCCCCTCCCGGCTCCGCCCAGGATGTCACGTGACCAGCAGCAGCATTTCCCCCCCCCCCAAACTTAGCGTGCCCCGCACACTTGCCCCCGCAACCAGGGCCCGCCTCGGGGCCGGTTTCCACCTCCCAGCCTCCCTGCTTGTTCTCCACTCTGCCTCCACCCCTCGCCCTGCAAAGGCTACGGCGTCCCGTTACCGACTGCCCGCGTCCTCAAGGCCAGCACTGCAGACGCCATGTTCGCCTCACACCCGCTTCCGGTCTCGGAACCTTCTGCTTCCGCTACCGGGAGATCTATTTCCAGGTCCCGTGTGGCGGTTCAAAGGGTGACGCGAGAAGCTGCAGGTGAGCGTTCTGGGTCACCGCCCGGCCGGCTGGTCACGGCTTCCCTCGTAGACAGCGCTCCGCAGGGGCGTGGTGGCAGGACATCCCGGGGCTCTGCAGTGGGCCGCCGGCCTGAGAGACGTGGAGCGTGCCCGGCAGGGGCCCGTTTGTCATGCTCCCTCTTTTTGCAGGAGTCAACCGAGGCCCAGCGAGGGGACAGGGATGAGGCCCCCTCCCTAGTCATTTACCATACTTTACTGAGACAGACGATGGTGTGCCAGATACTGTACTAAGTGCGGTATATGCGTTATTTCTTTTCTTTTCTTTTTTTTTTAATTGTCTTTTTTTGAGACCGGCCGCACCGCGCTCAGCCAGTGAGCGCACCGGTCATCCCTATATAGGATCCGAACCCGTGGCGGGAGTGCGCTCCCAGCGCCGCACCCTCCCGAGTGCGCCACGGGCTCGGCCCTGCATTATTTTTTTAAATTTAATTCTTACAGTCGTATAAAATTGGTATCGTTATCCCTGTTTTACTATAAAAGAAACTGAGGTCCAGGAAGTTTACATGGTTCAGCCAGGGTCACACCCACAGTGTTAGTTGTTTAAAGAATGAGTCTTGCGCACGACCCAGCAATGCCACTTCTAGATATATACTCAAGAGAATTAAAAACATGCCCACACAAAAACTTATATATGAATGTTCATAGCAGCGTTATGCATAATAGCCAAAAAGTGGAAGCAAACCAAAGGTCCATGAAGCGATGAATGGGTAAACAAAATGTAGCGTATCCATACAATGGAATATTATTCTACCATAAAAAGGAATGAAGTACTGATACATGCTACA